GCTCCCGCCCCGCCCTGGCGCCGCTCTCCCGGCACCCGCCCCGCGCGCACCTTGCCGTCAGCGCGCGTGACTGTGCGCGTGCCACTGCCCAGGGTGGCCACCACTGATTCGAAGTCGTCCTCCTCCACCGCCAGCACCTGCACCTCAGCTGTGTACCTGCGGGGCAGCAACGCGGGAGAGCGCGCAGCGGGGATAGCGGGCTGGTGGTCAAGGAGGGAGGCGGCTGCAACGGGCCCGCAGGGGGCAAGGGGGCGCAGAGGAGACAGAAAAAGGTGGTCGGCATGTAAGCAGGTGGTTTTCTTTTTTGGGGGGGGGAGGGAGGGGCAGCGCCGCTGAGCGGAAGCTGAGAAGGCGCGGGGTCCGCCCGCAGCCGACGCGCAGGCGAGGGGAGCCAAGAGAAAGCGCGATCGCGGCCCGCGCGTGCGCTCAAGGCGGGCCGCGCACCCGCCGTGTGTGCCGCAGAGGCCGACGCCCAGCAGCTGGCAGGGCGCGTCCACCCGGAACACAATCTCGTCGGCGCCGTCCTCGTACACCCTTTGAGGGGGCGGCGCGAATGTCATGAGTGATGGCAGAGCGCAGCAGGTGTGCGTGCACGGGCGCTGGTGGTTGGCAGAGACTTCAGCGGCGTGGGGCGTGGGAGATGGGTACGGACTGGGCTGAACTGTAAGCAGGAGCGCGGAAGCCACTTGCTCACTTGACCGCGCGCTTTGCGCCCCATGTCGGCGCACTATCACTCAGAACCGCTCGGATGGTATATGCGTGCCGCTGGGCGCCAGGCACCTTCGTGGGAGCCCCTGCCCCCCCCCTCCCCACATCGCGCCCCGCCCACTGCCCACCAGTGCGCATCCTCCTCTACGCAGGCGGCGCGCGCGGCCCTCACGAGCGACCAGGGGAAGCGGTCGATGGCTGCGGTGAGGCCGGACAGGCCGTAAAACTCGGCCTGGGTGGGTTGTTGGTCGTGTGTGATTCGTGCTTGTGTGATGTCGGGTACACGTGAGTATGTGTGTGTGTGTGTGTGTGTGTGTGTGTGTGTGTGTGTGTGTGTGTGTGTGTCTCGCGTGGGTGATTGTCTGATGTATGTCTGGTGTGTGCGGGTGCAGGTGGTGTGTGTACGATATAGTGTTTGTCTGGTGTGTGCGCGTGCAGGTGGGGTGTGAATGGTGTGTACGGGTGCGCTGGGCAGCGCAGGTAGTGTAGGAAGTGTAGGTGATGTCGCACATGTCATGCCGTGGGAGCCCCGCCCTGCAGCCAGCAGGCGACCCGCAGAAGTGCTACCCCCCAGCGTATCCACTCCCTTGAAGGATGCACCACCCCGGGAGCCACGCTCACCTCCGCGCGCAACTCAAGCAGATACCTTTGGGGGAGGGAGAGGGTTGGGGTGCCGGTGGGAGGATCAGGGGTTACAGGGTGCAGCACGGAGGTTTCAGGCGTAGCAAATGTGCCAGGGAGCTGGAGCGGGCAGGCGCTGCATCCAGGTACACCAGGCGCGGGGCTGGCGGGCAACACGGCCCTGCTTTTGCTGGTAGCGGCCTGCGAGCTTGGCAAGCCCGGCGGAGTCCCAGCAGGGGCGGGGCCACCCCTGCCAGGGGCCTGGGTGACGGCTCACTTGAAATCCGTCCCGTCCTGGGGGTAGGCCAGCTGCCGCGTGCGCAGGTAATTCAGGACTGCGCAAAGGCATGGCACGGGCGGATCGAGCGGGTACGACGCGGAGATATCCGCTGATGCCGCGGGTGTGGGGCGGGTCAGCACTAACAGCGCCGGCGGTCGCCCTCGCCGCCGCCTCAGCCATGGTGGCGCACTCGTGAGGCCGAGCGCGCCGCCCGTCCCCCTTTCAAGTGGGCCACAGCTTCGCTGGGGGTCCCGCAGCCGTGTGGCATTCGCCGGCCGCGCGCGCGCCCACCGTCTGCAAAGTGGCGGCCATCCCTGTCTATAAATATGCTCCCATCCTGCGGTGACCGCTGCAGCTCGTGGCGCCCGCTGAACATGGCGGCGAACAGGCTGGGCGCCGGCGCGCCGCGCAGCGTCGACACCGTCGTGGTGAAGCGCGCGCCGCCCACGCTCAGCGTCACCTGCTCGCTGTCACACAGCACCTGCGGGCCCATGTGCGTCAGCGTGTGCGTGGGCACGCCGTTCGGTGCCCATGCATGCCCTGCTGTTGCCCGCCCGGGCGAGGTGTGGCGTGTACATGCCGTGCATGGCGGCAACCCGTACGCCGCATGCATGCATGCAGCCGGCCAGCCACGCCGGCCCCTCGCCATGCAACAGGGGGGCGGCCCATGCGGCGCCGGCCCCAAAGCTGACCTGCTGCACGCGGCTCCGCTCCTGGTCCAATGCGCCGCGCTCCGCTGCCAGCTGCGCCCGCTCCCGTGCCAGCGCCTCGCGCTCCGCGCTGGCGGATGCCACCAAGCCCTCCAAAAGGCCCTGCGGGTGGGAGCCGTGGGTGACTGGGCGACTGGTTACGTGGATGGGAGGGAACTTGATATCAAAACCCATGACACCTGCCACTTGCACCACAGGGCGCTGGGGCCATCAGCTGCTTAGTTGAATGAGTACTGCTGCGTGACGGTGTTGGTGCGGTGCTGACCTGGAGGTGGGAGACGCCGGATTTGAAGTGATCCAGCGAGAGCGACAGCCCGTCGTTTTGGAGGCAGCCCTCGGGCGGCGGGCCGCCCTGCTTGTGTGCGCGCCACGCCGCCGCATTGGTGCCGCCATTGGCCGCGCCGCCGACGCCGCCGCTGTTGCTGGGGCTGGGCTCCATCCCCTGGTCGCCGGACGTGCCCGCCGCTGCCGCTGCTGACGGAGCGCCGCCCCGTGCCCGCTTGGTGTCTGCCACATCGTCCACCATGCTGCTGCTTTCCGGCGTCTTGCGCTTGTCTGCCGTCGACGCCACTGTGGCGATGCGGCCGCCGCCTGCAGACAGTGAACAAACTGAAAGCAGCGAGCTGCACGCTGCACCGTGCTACGCGCGTGCTACGCTCTGCTGGCACGGTCGCACCCCCCCGTGGCGCTGCGCAGAGAGCTGCTGCACGTAGTCAAACACTTAAAGCGACCACATTTATGATGATAGGCTGCTTGCACTGTACTCCAGGCTTGAGGTGCAGACGCTGGCCTAAAGAACTGCCCGTGGACTGACGATCAAGCGGGCGAACGTATGATCCAACAGAAGATATCAGTATATTTGTCACGACTGGGTGGCCTCGACCTCCATGCAAAGGGAAATGAGCGTGATCTTGTGCAGGAATGTTGTCTCCCGGCTCCTTCGGGCAAAAGAAGTGATCGGTGCTGTTCGGTACGCAAAAACCTCGTCCATTGAGTATGACATCTGGTTGCCTTTCGTGTAACACGTTCAGCAAGCGCTTGTTTTCTGCGAGGTCTGCTCCCATGTCCAGTCCTTGATCAGCAGTCCTGACACTGCTGATGCACCCGCCATTCTGCTCGCTGCCACCCTGCTACCGCTTCATAATGGAGATGAGGTATCCAGGAGGTACATTGACCTGAGCATACCGTCTGTCACCTTCCAGCGGTGAAATTTCGCTCTCGTCGGCTGGGGCGGCCCGGGGGAGGGGGGCGGCGGCGGGGCGCTGCTGCGGGGGCGCCCTGGTTTTGGTGCACAATGGTGCGTGGTCGTGGGCGTCCGCATGCGTGCTGTCAGCGGCAGTTGGCAAGTAGAACGTGTTTCCCTTCAGAAGGGGGAACCTTGGGATTTGTCTGCTGGCTGCGTTGTGCGACTTGCCGGGCGCGCGCGCGGGGGCGCTGGCGCGGGGCGCTCGGGGCGTTCTGAGGGGCCGCGAGGGCGGGGGGAGGGGCGGGCGCGCGGCGGGCGGGCGCGCTACAGCACGCCTGTCACACGCATCGGGCGAGCCAAGCACGCGCATGTAAAGCGGTTATCGTTAATCGAATCTTCACACCTGAATCCCTTGCATGAGAAACCTGGCTGCTGCCTCTGGGCTGAATTGCTGGTGATGTTGGGGATGGCGGATGTCGGCCGCTGACCCTAAAAAATAAGGTCCGCTTGCAAGCGGCGGCGGGGGGCCAGAGTCAGTGCCCGCAGCAAGGCGCGCGGCAGCCCGGTGCGGGTGGGGAGGAGGGGTGTGTCGCAGACAGGTTTGGCCGGGCAGGGCCCCAGAGGGATGTGGCGGCCCGGGCTGCGCACGCACGCGTTTACATCGCATGTCGCTCTCCCCTGAGGTCACGTACGCCTCACAAGGGACTCTGTCACAGGACACAGGTGAACATAGGGCACTAAAAATGATTCGATCGCCGCAAGCAACAGCATGATGCAAACGTCTTGCTGTCTCTTGCGCGGCACTTGACCAGCTCGCACCGTCTTCGCATCATCACCGGCGCTGACGCAACGAGGTTGACGGTGTGCAGACGTTCACGGGCTCGTCTCGTACACTGTGAGCAATTGTGAGGTCGCTATTCAAATCTAGATATATCAATCTCACAAACGTGCGCCCCGCTTGCTGCTTTGTTTGGACCCTGCCTCCGTCGTTGGCAACCGACCGACAGCATCACGGGATCGCAGGCCATTATTGTCAGGCATCCCTCCGCGACGTGTTAATGTGAGATTGGATATTTATTTCTTTGGGCTACTCGGTACCGGATGGGCAACGCATGCCTGAAGCGCACCGAGCTCGCCCGACAACGACCTGTAGACAACTGTAAGCCTCTCCTCGGCCAAGATGATGCAGGCCAAGCAAGCCATTCATGAATATTTGTTGCATCAACTTCATAACAACCTCGTGCAGGTCGGCCTGAGCGTGCAGCTTGCACACACCACGACGACGACGGCGCCACTTGCATCACTGCAGAGGCAGCAGCAGCACTCACACAAGGCGCGTGCAGCGCTGGGACAGCTCTTCAGACTCAGGCAGCCAGCATGCCCTCAGGCGTCAAGAGCGGCGGCCCGCGCGCCCGCGACGCCGCACTCAAGCTCACACACGAGCAGCGGGCGGCGACGGCTCAAGCTGCAGCAGTGCAGGCGAGGGTGGATGAAGCCATTACCCTCAACTGCGACCAACCAAGAAGCGACCACGCGGCAGGTCCCGAGGCAGGCGGCGACGGCGGCGGCAGGCGAGAGTGTGATAAGGAGCGGGGCGCAGCCGGTCACGAGGCAGACGTACGCAACGCGGGCGGCAGCAGCGGCGCTGTGAGGGCCAAAGCCAGCCGCGCGAGGAGCCAGACGGGCAGTGACACAGGAATATCTGAGGATCAGCGAGATGAGGGGGAAGTTGATGAGGATGATGGCGAGGGCGAGGGCGAACGCGAGGG